AAGGCCCTCCCCCGGGGCGTTGCCAGCCGACATTGGCCGGCAGATGGGATTCGGAGGAGACCTAGTCTGTGGGATCTAATGGGTCTTAGGGAGGTAATTGGCAGGAGGCGGTCTCTCAAGTACCCAGGTCCAATGCCATGTAGGGCTTTAAAAGTAACGACAAAGGGATAATATTCTAGAGGGCAAGGGATGTGGCAGAGAAGACAGGTCTCCTGGTTCCCACCAGCCAACATTCATTGGCTAACGGCACCCACAGCATGCCCAACCTGCCTGCTTGAGTTGGTAAAGGAGGGGGTATAGTTGTGGTTTGAAAAATAATACAGTGCGTTTGTTTTCGTTTTCTGTATGGATGACTGCAATTACCTGTCAGGTTGGAAGCTTGAACATAATGTAATGAAATGCAATTAACTGAATGAAAAATAGATTTACATCTAGTAGTTCTGAGACATAAGGAATGTACTAAAAATAACTTTAAAAATTACATATTTGAATAGTATTTTTCAATGAGTTCTGAGACAATTGTGAAAGACACAATCAGGCTTTCATAGTTTGGATGTATGCAGTCTTTCTCTAACCCATCAGAAAAATATTAAGATCTCAAGTGATCCTTTTATAGGAATTGTGTAGTAGTGTGTCAGAGTAGTTTATTTCTATACAGTGTGAATTGAAATGAGTGAGAGTGGGATGACTCTGGAAAAGAGGAAACTACAGCTTTATCTGAAAAAAGACAAACATGTAAGGATTTAAAAAGAGATTGTAATTATGAAAATTGTATCCATATTCTGACATACATTTGTGGTGTTCAATTTCAATATATATAAAAATTAATACAGCATACTTTTATTAACATACACATTTGTTTCAATTTCTATTAACAATTATGGTTATTTTCAGATAATGAAAGAAATCCAAGAGCACAAAATTAAAATATATGAATTCCCAGAAACTGATGATGAAGAAGAAAATAAACTGTTTAAAAAGTTAAAGGTACCAAAAATATTTAAGCTAAATATTGCCGTTTTGTGTCACAGAATTCAGAAAACAGAGGTTTTATTTTAATGCAGGGGTCCCCAACCCCCAGGCTGCAGCCCAGAACTTGGCCATACAAGCACTGAGCGAGCGCATGAACACACGCAGCTCCATTTGCGCGAGCGGTGGGTGCACACACTCATGTGGGAAGCTCCATTTGCCCGAGTGGAGGATGCTTGCACAGGAAGCTCCATGTGTGCAAGCAGCAGGTTTGCACACCTGTCGCTTGCATACATGGAGCTGTTCACACACACACATGCACCCGCTGCTTGTGTGGAACCATCCCCTCTCCCCTCAACCCCAAAACCAGTCCACAAAGCCAGAAAGGTTGGAGACTCCTGTTTTAATGGACATAGCAATTCCACAAAAGAATGCCCATCAGAGATCTCTCTTATTGGCTTTAGTCAAATAATCAATAAAGCCCTGGTATACAGAAACTATTAAACATTTACACATACAACATAATAGTACCAAATTATTAGGTAACATTTAAATTGATTGTTTAATTTCTAAAAAAAAAACCACTGAAATAATTTTAGAGGTTAAAAGAAATGTGTTTGCTTTACCTCTATTTTAGTGGCTTTTTGTGGATATTTTCCCTTATTAGTAGCATTATGAGAAATACAATGCTATAAAAGAAAACAATGATGACATTTGGATGCTTTATTTTTGTTTTTGATTTACCATAACAACCTATGTCATCAACACATAGGGCAAAGTGTACTTAATCTTAACAATGGCTAATGTTATATATGTGTGTGTGTGTGTGTGTGTATAGATAGATAGATAGATAGATAGATAGATAGATAGATAGATAGATGATAGATAGATAGATAGTTTTTTATTTTTTCATTTTCATAACATATAGCCACATGTATACTATTACATAACCAACATCGTATTATATTATTAACTGTTTACATCAATTCGTCTTACCATCAACTCCCAAAAACAATTATTGGCTCTTCTGCTCTCCATACACCATATTTGTACCTTATCACCACTGGAGGTTTTTAAGAAGAGACTGGACAGTCACTTGTCTGAAATGATACTTTGGAATATAATTTGTTGACGGTGATATTTTGCGACCAGATTGTGAAAAAAGTGACTTTCTTTGCACCAAAATGGGGTTTAGCTTATTTTCCTAAATAAGAGTACAAGTTACAGTATTAACAAGCATTTTTAAAAAGGAGCATACTCTTTCTTAGATACATAATATCTATCTGTTGTCTATCATT